CTATAAAATCCTTTTCCCTATAATTCTATGATCAAGCTAGCTAGTTCTCGGCATCACAGAAATATATCCAACAAATAGCTGGTTATACTGGATAGTGATTTGAAAGGAACTCTGCGATATTTTTAAAAGGCAAGAGAGATCTGATCACGGTTCCTGCTTTCCACTACAGAACATAAGCCAATGTCTTTCTGTTAAGTGGAGAAACTTTTTAACAATGGAGTAGATTCTCACTAAGGGGCAAACCCTCATGAGGTTTGATGGACGGTCCAGGCCTACATGCCAGATCACGGAAAACAAAATCCTGGGAACCAAAAACCTACCCTCTGCCATATGGTCCAAACTCAATCCCCCTGAGTGGCAAACCAGTAAAGTGGTTTACTGTCTGTTAGATGGATCACTCATGCCCTCCCGTGTAAATCTTTATATGCGATAGAGTAGAAACGCTGTCCATCTGGTAGGAGATCCCAGCCCCCTGTAACCCTGGGGCAAGACAGTCAAGCTCCCTGTGCCTCAGTTTTGTCATCGGTGAAGTGAGGGATAACAACAGGACTTACAGGATTGTTGTAAAGAGGAAATGAGTTACTACCTGTGAAGTATTTAGGACAGTGCCTGGCACGTGGTATTTAATAACTGTTAGCTATTACAGTTATTAGACTTAAGACCAAGACATTGAGGTCTATGGTTTTCTCAGATCTTGAACTTGAAGACTCTGGGGAAAGAAGTAGGAACAGGACCACGTATCACTTTAGGTCCAGTTGTCGGTTTGTTCAGAGAAAGGAAAGTAAGCTAGAATCTCTAGTATAGAAATTCTATCTAATGTCCTGAATCACATTCTACCCACAGCTTCAAATCAGATAAAACTCAAGGCCAAGGAACAGGTATGACCTGGCACAGTATGGCCCCAATACTATGACAGTAAGCATCAGACAGAGGAAAACTTGCAGCTTCTGAGCAATATCGTTGAGGAAGGGATCAGCTTGCTCAAAGAAAAGCGGACCAAAATTCTATCAGGACGAGGCCGCCATTCTGCTTGCAACATGAACTTTACAGGATGGTGGCTCATCACCAGCCTTCGGTACTCACATCCCCTCGGATGGCCAGTGCGCGTCCTCTTCTATCCGTAACAGTTCTTCACAGGCCTCAGTCCTTTCCTGTGGACAGAACACATGGGTCTTCTGAGAGCCACTGGCTGTAACAGTCAACAGTCTAAACCTGCCCTCATCCATATTCACAACAGCCAAAAGGTGGAAACAACCCAAGTGTCCATGAATGGACGAATGGAGAAAATGTGGTCTATACATACAATGGAATATCATTAAGCCTTAAAAAGGACAGAAATTCTAACACATGTTACAACATAGATGAACCCTGAGGACATTATGCTAAGTGAGTCACAAGAAGAAAAATACTGTATGATTCCACTTACATGAGGTTCCTAGAATAGTCAAATTCATAAAGACAGAAAGAAGAATGGTAGTTGCCAGAGGAGAGGGGGCAGGGGATTGGGAAGTTATGGTTTAATGGCGAAAGAGAGTCAGCTTTACAAGATGAAGGAGTTTTGGAGATGGAGAACACAACATTGTTTTGGTTACACAACAATGTAAATGTACTTACCATTGAACTGTGTACTTAAAAAATGGCTAAGATGGTAAGTTTTTATGTTGTATGTATTTTGCCACAATTAAAAATAAAATAAAATTTTAAAAAAGAAGAAAAGAAAACCTGGCCGAGGACTACAATACCTGTTAACTTAGAAAAGAGTCAGAAATGCAAAGCTTAACTCCATTCATGATTGCCCTCTTAGCACCTCCTGATGCTGACAGATTCCTCAGCTGGGCTTGTCAGTCACATGAGAATGTGCATTCTGATGTTGGTGAGAGGAGCAGTGTGTGTGTGTGTGTGTGTGTGTGTGTGTGTGTGCGCGCGCGCGCGCGCACACACCCGTGCACATGCACACTGTTAACAAAAAAGGAAGTATCAACGACAGAAAAATGCCTCAAATTGCGTCTAATAGTTTTCACATGTACAACGTGCAGATTTCACTGAAATGCACCCCCCTCTTAATATCCCAAAGAAACACTGTGGTGGGAGTATTTAGAAAGGCGTGTCCCACTGTTGGAACTTCCATGGGAGTCTTTCCATTTTGATCTCTGACACAGAGAAATGCTGCTTTAACTCAGCTGACAGCTAAAACGGAAGCCATCCCCGAAGGGGCAAACACTCCTCTAGCAAGGAAGGAACAACAGACAAAAGGACTGTTTTCTGTGTCAAAGTTCTGACACTTCATTAACTAACGCAGGCCCAGCCAATTCTCCAGATGTGTCAGAGAAAATAAGTCTTTTTCTGAGGAGATATCTAGCTGCATGATGTCAACCTCTGGCTTGAAAAACACTCAGACTTTTTCTATATAGATTATACTTCTAGTGCATAATAAAATCAATATATAAATTACTGTGCCTCCACCCAAATGCTAGTGAAATTCATGGGTGAAAATATACTACGAGAAACAACCAAGAAAACATGTTCTTATCTCTTCCTGTTGGGTTTCAACTATAGGAGCCATGGGTATTTCCTTCTAATTTTCAGTTTCATAATAAAAAGTAGCCAATAGTAGAAAATATACTTTTTTTCAGTATGCAAAACAGAGGTACACTGGGTTTCTTTTGCTAAGTTAGATGGGGACACAGTTGATACACATTATTCATGGATTCCGTATTTATGAATTTGCCTCCTTACTAAGATCTGTGTGTCACCCCAAAACCAATACTCGTGGTGCTTTTGCAGACACACGCAGAGCTTGGTGACAAACTGGAGTTCCCAACCCCAAAATGCACTTCCCAGTTGAGGCTGAACAAGGTAGCAAGCGACCTGCTTTCTTGTTTCAGCTCTCAGACTGTAAAAAGTGTCCTTTTCAGAGCCTATTTAGTATCACATTTTCACAGTTTTGTGCCTGTCGTTGGCGATTTTGCTGTTTAAAATGCCCCCTAGCATAGTACTGAAGGGCTGTCTTATCCTAAGCACAAGAAGGCTATGATATGTACTGTACCTTACAGAGAAAACACCTGCATTAGGTAAGCTTCCTTCCCACATGAGTTACGGGGCTGCTGGCTGCAAGTTCAGTGTTAATGCACTAACAGTACATATTTAATAGGGTGTCTTGAGACAGAAATACACATAAAACCAGGTTATGTACTGACCAGTTGACAAAAATGTGTGACCAGAGGCTCGTAGGAACCTAACCCTGTATCTCCCATGGGAGGAACAGTTCAGGATTGGATAATTCAGTGTTTGAGGAAACTATCAAACAGAACTGCTGTGAATAAGGATCATCCGTAGTTACAAAAGCACAAGATGCTTACTCAGTGGAGAGAAAACAGGATTATATAAAACACAGAACTCTTGATCGTCGAGGACTGAGTAGTTCAGCACACTGGCTGGCAGTCAAACACACTCTCACAGACTTTAAAAGTGATGCAGGGCTTCCCTGGTGGCACAGTGGTTGGGAGTCCGCCTGCCGATGCAGGGGATGCGGGTTCGTGCCCCGGTCCGGGAGGATCCCACGTGCCGCGGAGCGGCTGGGCCCGTGAGCCATGGCCACTGGGCCTGCGCGTCCGGAGCCTGTGCTCCGCAACGGGAGAGGCCACAACAGTGAGAGGCCGGCGTATCGCAAAAAAAAAAAAAAAGTGATGCAAGTCAAGGGTAAAATGGGCCTGAATTGCAGCGTACAACTTTTAATTGTAGATTTATGTTTTATTTTATTATTAGCATTCTTCTCCACTTGCCAACAGAAGCCTCTTGTAGGAGTGGGCCCCAGGAAACATTTGCTGTAGATTTCTACACCCCATTTGCTCCCCTAGATTCTACACCACAGGACCCATGCTGGAGAGCAGCCATTCCCATGGAGCCCTGTGCCTCCTGAAATCTCTAAATCTAGAAGAATTTGCTTTTTTGAAACAACATGTTTTATTTTACTAATCACTTTAATTGCTTTCCTTCAAGGCTTCCATCTTTACTTTAGACCCTCAACTTAAGATAAACTTCATAAAAGAAAGACCAAAAGCCCAATTTTCCATGTTTTGCTGACAGACTTGTCTCAGAGCTGACAGACAGGCATCAAATCTGGGAGAGCCTTGTGAGAACCACTGGCTGGAAAGTCATAGGATGAGGTTTTTACTTTCGGAAAATGTCTGGCAGCAGCAGGGGCGGGATGCTGGGTGCTCAGCTGGGGTAGGAGGGACTTCTGCTGTCATTAAGAATAAGCAATGATAAGGCTCCACTGAAGTCATGTCAGTGGAGGTGGAGGACAGAAAGGAGGCAGTGAGTGTGAGATATTTTGAAACAAGAACTGATGGATTTATGATGGATTAAATATACAGAATAAAGAATTTGGTTTTCTACAGATGTATGTCGTATGAGAGGTTCATTATTTTTGTCTTGAGTACACCAGAGTTTCCTACAGTGTACGATTCAGCCGTTTTCCTCCCATTTCCCTTGAAGGTGACGCCCAGAGACGTTAGTTGAGACAGAGCCCAGCCATCCTAACACCATCCTCAGGAAATAAGAACCAGCACCTAGAGACCCCGGGCCCGACTTTAACACAGTAACTCAGAGACCATTGTCTCTCACAAGCCACAAGGAACCTGAATTTTACCGAAAGGATTATCTTCGTGATCCTTGGGTGCCACAACCTGAACCAAAAGGACTGGCAGAAACATACCAAGGCACTTAATTGTGTCACAAAGTGGAACCTTAACTACCAGGTTTATAAAGGGCTAGTTTTTCTCTTGTTTCTGCCGCTCCTATGACGAAGGTTTGCCTGATAATTTAATGACTTCATCTAACATTTCAACACCTCAGCGCCACTATACCTGTTTATGAATGTGTCCTCAGAGTGACCCTTCTAAAAAGGGAAGACACTCATTTCCAGATTTTAAAAGTCTCCATTTTTCTTCTTTTACTCTGAATATACTCCCAAGAAAAACTTACATACCTCGAATATGTTGAAAAGCATGTGAACCTTTGTTTTAGCTTTTTTACTGGATGGTCATGGTAATTCTGATAACTTATACAATGCACTGACTACCAGAGAGCTGAGTAATTTCTGAATACAAAGGAAAATCACCCATATACACAGACAAATAGAGAGGTACGGATGAAAGGGACAAGCTCCTAATATCGGCAAATAAACACGTTAGACTTTGAGAAGATGTTATAAAGGCCCAAGGAAGGTGGTAACAAGCTGACATTGAAGGTGATGGATTGGTAACCTTGAACATAAATTCTAAGGCGCCAAACAGAAGTAAATAAGTTAAAAAATTATTATCCTCCACTTGCCTTAATATAGTTTATAAATTCCGAATGGAGAATGTCTGTTCCGTGGGAAAATTGGTCTCTTTCTTCTCCTGAGTTCTCACTGTCACTCACAAGGGAAGGCGCTGGTTGAAATTCCTGATGAAATTCCCCTATTAGGGAAATATAGAGAAAGATAGAAAGCACGATTTCATAAACAGATGAGCAAAACATAGATGACTGTAAAGTACATCACCTAGTTTTTCAATCTTCTCCCTGACCTCTTCTGGAGGTATATGAATGACCCAAGTTTTCTCTTTCCGAAAGGATGTGAGGAAAAGGTGAAAAAAGGAGGAAGAACAGGAAGAAAAGTAAAAGAAATGGAAAACCCCAAGTCAAATGAACTTAAAAGTCAAGGCCCCTATATGGCTTAGTTCCTTATGAAACAAATGAAATTTCCTCTAATTTTTTTTAAGGAACAGAGAATAGAAAGTATAAAAGAGGGCTTTTTGTGCTCTCAGCAACGTGTGACAAGTAAGTATTTCAAACTCAAAATTCAGTAGTTACCGAACAACTACTAAACGGCAGGTAAAATACCAAACATTTTGGGGATTTAAAAAATTAGTGAATGGGACTTCCCTGGTGGTGCAGTGGTTAAGAATCCGCCTGCTAATGCAGGGGACATGGGTTTGAGCCCTGGTCCGGGAAATCCCACATGCCGCGGAGCAACTAAGCCCATGCGCCACAACTACTGAGCCTGTGCTCTAGAGCCCGTGAGCCACAACTACTGAAGCCTGCATGCCTAGAGCCGTGCTCCGCAACAAGAGAAGCCACCGCAATGAGAAGCCTGTGCACCGCAACGAAGAGTAGCCCCCGCTCGCCGCAACTAGAGAAAAGCCTGCGTGCGGCAACGAAGACCCAACACAGCCAAAATTAAATAAATTTATTAAAAAAAAAAAAAAATTAGTGAACAACTGCAAGAAAGAGTGGGGGAAAGGACTAAAATAAGGACCCAAAATCATAACAACAAAAGAAGTGACTATGATGAGAGCCACATGGAGGGGAAAGCACAGAGCTCATCCAACAGGTCTGTGTTCTAGATGGTGCAGGAGCGGTGAAAGGAGGAAAAGCAGATCTCTTCTCTCTGATCTGGACACTGGGAAAGAAACAAGTAGGACCACACCACCTTCAAGGACTCCTAGCCAGCAAAAAATATCCACTTCTAGAACAGAGGGGAGAAAAACTGGTGACAAATGATATAATTCTTTTATTTTAAAATATTTGCCTAAAACACTACGTCTTATACTGCATATATTGTTACAAAGCTTATCTAAATTAATAAAGTGGCAGTCATATTTTTGCATAATGTATACAGTTATATCTGGGGACAATGTATGGTTCCAATCATCATCTCAGATAAACAAATGCTAACTTTAAAGACCTGAGCATAATAAGTGAAAGCAAACACTAGAGTGTGAGTTGGTTTAAACCGTTCTCCCGTCACTAGGGAGAGCAAGGCAAACTATTAGGGAGATAATCTGCATATTAATCTAGTTCTATACTATCCAGACGTCATCAAGCAGTCTCTGCCACAAATGTAAACATTACATTTTACAATTTACTTAAAAGCCACTGAATAAACAGAAGCAGTCAAATTACTGTCATAATGTAATCAAATGAGGGCTACTCACCAAGATATGAAGTGTATTACCAGGATTTTAGAGTAGGCAAGATGTAGAGTGTTTAGTGATCATCTGGTGATTATCAAAGAATCACAGACTTCTAGAGCTACATAAAACATTACAAATCACCTCATCTAATCATCTCACTTACAGGTGAGAGAATTAAGGTTAACTGACTTGTTCAAAGTCAAGTAGATTCCCGGGCACACACATCCCAACTACATTTCCCACCCTTGCATGTAGTTAGATGTGACCCCTGGGCCTGTGAAAGGCCCAGCCCACGCTTGCTGCGTGGCTGGTAAAGTTCTGTTTCTCTAACTGGGAGCTGGACCCTTTGTTCCCATTCCTGGAGCGAACCTCCATGCTCCTTTCCCTTTAGCTTGAAACAGATGGACTTGGAAATACAAATTAATATAAATTAAAGATGGTAGAATCACCAGATAAAAGGAACTTGGGCTCTTGAAGCACTGCGTGGAGGAGGGCTGCCTGGGAATCACTAACTCCCCTTTGGACTTACTTTGGATTGTGTTAAGTCAATGAAATTTGGGGATTGTATGCGTTACAATAGCTAGAGCTGTCTTAAATAGTATATCTACATATCAATATTTTTTTCCCAATAATGGATTTAAAGAATCTTAAATAAATCTTCAGAATGAGAATAGCTCTACTTTTACTAGCTATGTGACCACTGGCAAGTTACTTAAACTGAGACTCACCTATAGAATGGAGATGATTAGGGTATCCATCTCAGAGTTTTGAATTTTAAATGAGATGACCTTCACAGATTAGCACAGTGCCTGGGGCATATGAAATGCTCAATAAACAGTAACTATTACGGTTGCCATGTTTCTGCATATTTTAAACATAGCATTTGAAACTTAAAAACAAGCTTTTTCTCCCCATCCTTCATTCTCAGACCTTTAACTGGACTAAGGCGATGGCAGGAGTCCTCCTTGATCTGTTGTTCTTCCATGATATTTGACATTGGCACGTTGAGGCTAACGGTGTCTTCATCAGAAGGCTGAAAAGAAACAGGACACTGCCTCATTCAAGGGAGAAGTGTAATCAATATAGATTAAGAGAATGCTATGTGACTAAAAAAAAAAAAAAAACACACTGTGATTCTCACAAACATAATATGGAGTAAAAGACACCAAAGGAAAATGCCACTTATATAAGTTCAAACATGGGCATAACTAATCCATGGTGTTTGAAGTCAGGATAGCGGCTGCTCTTAGGTTAGGGGCGTGGGCACATGGTGGGGGCTTTCTGGGTGGCTGGTAAAGTTCTGTTTCTCTAACTGGGAGCTGGTAATGAGTGCGTTCACTTGTCAAAATTCATCAAGCTAACACTCACGTACTTCTCTGTACATATGTTTTGAGCTGAAATTTTTTCAGGTACCTGATGATATTTTCAAACCTAAGAGCCACAGTCAGGGCACTGAGAAGGACTGAGTAACACCTGAGAGAACAAAAAACTAACTGGAAATACACTACCATACCAGCCCTAAGTCTAATCGATCACTTCAATAGTAATGGTGCTCTGAGATCTGACAACACAAATTTACCGAAACTATATTAATGTTTCATGAGACCAGTCACAGAAAGCAGGCAGTCAGCCTCTGGGACAACATCTCATTTATTTACAGGGCATCTTACACGCAACATCAAGCTTCAGTTTACTTCCCTGTTTAGGCTGAGGAAGCTGCTTTAAATATGTAAGAAGCTGCTTTAAACATATAATATATAGTACTTAAAAGGAACAGGGGTTCTCTGCAGTTTTCAGAATAATGCTTCGATTTAGTAATCAGAGTTAGTTCTCCCTGGGGAGTGTTTCCCACACTAACTGATGAAGATTATTCAGATAACCTATGATTCTGTTACAAATGAAATATGAAGGCTCATTTATTTTCCTATGTCTCCGTTTTAGCGTCGCTATTTCATGAAAAGCTTTTCAAATCACAGGGATCAGGAACCTCCACAGAGCACGTTTCTGTGGCTTTGCTTCTAAACTCCTGAGGCTATAATTTTTCACAGCACAGTGTTCATTTACTTTTGGACACGTGCACAGATTGTTCAGAAACTGGCAGAAAACAAATGTACATTTCATTCATTACACAGCTCTTCACTGAGCCTCACATTTTTTTGCTTGTTTATCTGAGTGACAAATGCTAAACCAATCAGAGTGACAAATGCTAAATCAACCAATGGCAACAGCCAGAGAAAGGAATCAGGTGTGATTTCTGAACCCCACAATGAGACGTAAGCAGGAAGCAAGACTGACTGACCACAGATAATAAAAAATTTGCCAAATAAAGTGAAAATAGAAAGCTACATAGAATAATCCAGAACCCTTATCCTTGTAAAAAAAACATTTCTAGGAGGTGTTCTCAGGTAAGGAGGCCCCAGTGCAAGACAAAAAAAAAAAAAAAAAAAAAAA